CACCCTTTGAGCCAATAGAAACAGGCGCGGACTTGTTTTTGTCTTAAAAGATTCCGTCATTACAAAAGGATCTCGACGACGCTTTTATCGCTTTTCACTTCAAAACGAACGATAAATTTTCATATTTGCGATCGAAATTACAAACTTTGAAGGATTTTGTCAACTTTTGCGGACGTGCTTACCAGAAAAACGCAGCTGAGTGGCACATTTCTAGAAATCTGACGCAATAAAGTGTAGTGCTCACGGCTCCAACTCCCACAAAGTTCATGTCCTATAATTAGCGAGCACAAACATTGTCGGGATGTTTGCTATTAGCTGGAAACATCTCAGTTACAAAATGTCTTCCTCTCGATGCAGATACAAACACTTTAAATGTGTTTCGCCTCAACTACAGACACTTTATTACATTTTATTACATCCCTTAAAGATGTACTCTGTAACTTTTTTCTAGTGAAGGCTCTGCTGTCTGTTCGTTTCCATGGAGATGTTATTCTATGTTAATTATTTTGCAGTTATTCAGTTATTGCTGTTTTGAAATCACGCACAGCAAAAATCGGAGTGTTAAAATTGACTCTCACAGAATCAGTTTTAACATTTTCTCAGGGTTTATATGAGTCCAATCTGTTCTAGAGTTAATTTAACTCTAATATTTGGAAATGTTAATTAAGTAACACTGAACCAAAGGTCTTGTTTAACACCAAAATCAAGAGTTATATTAACGTTTTGAGAGTAAATGGATAACACTTTGTTGGGTTATCCTGATTTGGCGAAACAACACACAGAGGGGTTTTATTTTGACACTTTATTTGACTTAATTTAAGGTGAAATTATGAACAGAACTGGTTCAAACTGGTCTACTCTCATGGGAGATTGAAGTGGTGGGTGGAAGGAGTAAAATTAATAATAAAGGAAGTTGAATGAACACTAGGGGAAGATGAATGAACTTCAACCATAACAACTCTGGCAAATAACTCCAACTCGAACCTCCATTTAACAGTACAAATAACACTTTCTGTGACTCTGAAATATTTTACCCTGAAATTTTAACTCTCTAGTTTTAAAAATGTGTTTAAATGTCTGATTTATGATGAAATTATGAACAAAACTGGTTCAAACTGGTCTTCTCTTTTGAGAGTTGAAGTGGTGGGTGGGAGGAGACAAATTAACACTAGGGGAAGTTGAATGAACTTCAACCATAACAACTCTGGCAAATAACCCCAACTCCAACCTCCATTTAACAGTGCAAATTACACTTTCTGTGACTCTGAAATATTTTACCCTGAAATTTTAAGTCTCTAGTTTTAAAAATGTGTTTAAATGCATTATTTATAATGAAATTATGAACAAAACTGGTTCACACTGGTCTTCTCTTTTGAGAGTTTGAAGTGGTGGGTGGGACAAGACAAATTAACACTAGGGGAAGTTGAATGAACACTAGGGGAAGATAAATTAACTTCAGTCACATCAACTCTGGCAAATAACTCCAACTTGAACCTCCATTTAACAGTTAAAATAACACTTTTTGTGACTTTAATATTTTACCGTGAAATTTTAACTCTCTAGTTTTAAAAATGTGTTTAAATGCATGATTTATGATGAAATTATGAACAGAACTGGTTCAAACTGGTCTTCTCTCGCAGGAGCTTGAAGTGGTGGGTGGAAGGAGCCAAATTAACACTAAAGGAAGTTGAATTAACACTAGATGCAGATGAATGAACTTCAACTATATCAGCTCTGACAAATAACCCCAATTCCAACACACGTTTAACTTTCAAAGCCTTAATATAACACTTTTTGTGGGAATATTTTATGCTGAAATTTGAACCCTCCAGTTTTTTCTGTGTGCACTCTTACTGTGAGTGGGCTCTCCTCTCCACAGATCTGACCTGTAAGTTTAGTGAGGTATGTTTAGAGCCATACTGTGAGTGTGAGCATCACTTCTGTGAAAGCAAGAACATCTCCATGGACCCTCCACACCTGAAAAGATACACAGTGGAGCTTTAAAGTCTGTGTTTACGCTCCTTGGTCCGACTTTTACGCACGTACGACTTGTAACCAACTTTTACACATCTTTTTATTTAAAGCCACAGTATGACACTTTTTTTTTTGGTCTAAAAACCTAAAGTAGATTAAAATAAACGAATTATTATTATTATTATTATTATTTTATTTATTTATTTAACAGAAAAACATGCGTCCTCACTCTGAGCATCTCCTCTTTTCTGGGGGACTGTAATATTCCAAACTATGGTATGAAGAGAAGGTTTTGAAGTATCATGCCGCCTCCAGAAAGTTCCATACTATAGCTTTAACATTCAAACATAGAACACTTGCATTTTAGTTGTCCTACCTTCTTTATTTAAACTAGACTGGGGTCCCTGTTTACCAAGTTACAGGTCAGATCTCCACAGACCTGATCTGTAACTTGATCTGGTTTGGTCTCCATGGAGATAGAAAAGTTTAATGCCATACTGTGAAACATTCTAGACAAAGCAATAACATCTCCATGGAGAAAAGCATTTGCCAGACCCTCCACCGGAAAAGTTACACAATGCACTTTTAAGCACAGATTCCTAAAAAATGTAAATAAGATAAATACAGTACAAACAATAGTAAAAACACAAACAATAGAGTCAAACATAAGTCTTAGTTCAGTTTAACACAGGGTAAAAGCACACGTCCATTTTCACCCGGGACAGTCCCAGTTCTGAGTCCTGTGTCCTCTGTCCCAGTGGATTTGTCCAAAATCATTTATTTGTCCCATTTTTATACAAGAAATGTCCCAGGTGTCTCTGTTTTTGACCAATGTGAAACCTGCCAACAGTAAAGAGAGACATACTTTGTGATTTTTTGGAAAAATACAGAAAAGCTGCTTAAAAATGACCAAAACACAGAGGAAATGTGACTATACTGACTCACGTTAGTCATGAATAAGCCAATTTTCTTGAACTCTCCTGCACCCCTGAGTACTTTTAGACATTTTTTAATATATTTATTTTTTTGTACATCTCAGATTTTCTTTTTTGCATAACTTTGGCTGTATTACACCACACAGCACCAAAATTGGCCAGTTTGTGTATTTTGTGATGTATTTTTAATTTCTGTGTTTTTTAAAGACTGAACGCAGAATTGAATGGTCTATATTCAAAATAGTCACACCCAAGGTCTTTAGGTATGATTTTTTTCCCATTGACTTTCATTCAAAATCATTTTTTAAACTGGTGTAACTTTGTCAGTATACAGTATTTTTACTTTTTGATGTATTTTCCATTCTTTTGTGTTGAAAAACCTTAGTAATTTTGAGTTTTTTGGGGGGATATTTTATTTTTACTGTATATCTTCCATTACAAGATTATATCAGTAGAAACATTTGTACATATGAGTCCACAGTGAATCCAGAGACTTAGATATTTGAGGTTAAAATTGTATGGGTATGTTCTAGAGGAACCCCCAGACTCTGATCCCAATTATCTTCCTCTGATCCCAAATTAAAATTCCTTGAAAGAAATGGAAAAAATCAAATTTCTTCTTTTTTTTCATGCTGTCAAAAGTGGCATTTAAGGGGTTAAAACTTCAAAATATTATATATTATTTGGTATGTATGATTCGCAGTGTTGGGAAGGTTACTTTTAAAACGTATTCCCCTACAGATTACAGATTACATGCCCCAAAATGTAGTTTGTAACATAATCCATTAAATTACTTAAAGTGAGTAATGTAATCTGAATACTTTGGATTACTTGATTTTCTGTAGAGAAGCAAAGACTTGGATATCTTAACATAAGATGTTTTGTCTGCTAAAAGACAATAAAAAGCCCAGACTTTACTTAACCAAATTAAAATGATTATTGATAGAAGACGAGGAGACACGGTCCACACAGCATGATTTAGTCCTGTTAAATCCTGTTTTAGTCCTGGTTTAGTCTTGGTTTAGACCTGGTTTTAGACCTGGTTTAGTCTTGGTTTAGACCTGGTTTTAATCCTGGTTTAATTCTGGTTTAGACCTGGTTTTAGTCTTGGTTTAGTCCTGGTTTAGACCTGGTTTAGATCTGGTTTTAGACATGGCTTAGACATGGTTTTAGACCTGGTTTAGACCTGGTTTTAATCCTGGTTTAGTCCTGGTTTAGATCTGGTTTAGTCCTGGTTTAGATCTGGTTTAGTCCTGGTTTAGATCTGGTTTAGTCCTGGTTTAGACCTGGTTTAGACCTGGTTTTAGACCTGGTTTAGTGTCCGGAAATGAGTGGAATTACCGAGAAAAAAAACAGGGGATATAGTCCAGAACGTAAAAATAGGAAAATACCTCTGTGTAATCCATTTATTTCAACAAAGTAACCGTAATCCAATTACCACTCACTGAAACAGTAACTGTAACTGAATACTCATAATTTGTACTCTGATTACGTAACTCCTGTACATGTAATCTGTTACTCCCCAACACAGAAGGGCAGAAGTAAATGAAGACACTGATATAAATAAAAAAGTTGGACAAAATCCAGACTTCATAAAAATATTGTGGTGTTTGTTGTTGTTTTTTGTCGGTGTACAGTTTCGTCACTTAAGAGCACAGGTGTGATTATTTTAAAGAGCTACACGAGAGTTTATTGTGCACTGAAGTTGAAAACCTGGTCATCCTAAACTAAACTTAACAAAACAGGGTGACATCTAATCTTTCCCTCAACAAGTGTGTGTCTTTTTTTTTTTTTTTCTTTCTTTGCCTCTGCGGTATCTCCGAGCGCTGTTCTCGTTCGTTCAGTGGCGCAGACTCGGTTCACTTGGACTGCCGCCAGCACGTTCGTCCGTCGGTAGCGCGCTCTCTCCTGCCCGCCCGCTCCGCTCCGTCTCGCCCTTGTTTCCATACACTTCAGCATGGTGGTACACGGGATCGGCTCCGCTCCTCCCCGCCGATTACGCCAAACCCCCCGCCCTCCAATCGCGGCGCGGACCTGGGCGGAGAGGGCGGAGCTCCGGCCGAGGCTCCAGCGCCGTTTAACACGTGAGGTTCATGTGACAGAGCTAGGTCAGACTGAGCAGAGCCGGAGAGGTGTATTTCACTCGACGCTCCGTACGGTTTTCCCCTACTTTCTCCAACACCACGGCGCTCGATACTATCTGCACCCACAACCCAAATCTTCAAAGCATCTCCAAGAATAATGTCATATTTTTTGACAACTGTTGGACTTTTGTGCGCATTTTAACGCGTTGCGAACTTTTTGGGTAGATTTGGGATTTTTTTCGTGCAAGTTTTCGAGTGCGTAATTGGACATACGAGCGAAAATGGATCGGATTGTGAGCGCGCAACCGCCTCCTCCGTCTCTTTCTAAACACCATTCGGATATAGGAGACGTACAAGGGTAAGTCACACTTTTTAAGACCTTTTTATGATGTCATAGTTGTAAAAAAAAAAAAAAATCAATTAGAATTTCCTGTGTACTCGCTTATCCAAACGCGTCATTTTGTAATTTGATTTTCTTTGAATTTTTAGGATCGACTACCCTATGTACGTGTATAAACCAAGACGTGGCATGAAAAGAGGCGAAGAGAGCAAGGTTGGTGGTGTTCTTTGACTATTACGCAGTCCACGTAGCTTGTTCACCCAAACCGTGTTGACTTAGCCCGCTGGCAATGTGCTCTTACAGCTCCATAAATGGTTGACCTAATTCCTGCTATGACATAACAGTCCAGTCTCCCTCGTTCTCCCCCCTCTCCTCTCCTCTCCGCTGAGTTCACGCACTCAACAGTTGTCTTTCCTGTTTTCCCTTGTCTTATTTTTACCCAGGACACGTACAAGTTACCGCATAGGCTGATCGAGAAAAAAAGACGCGATCGAATCAACGAGTGCATCGCGCAGTTGAAAGATTTGCTACCGGAACACCTGAAACTTACGGTGAGTTTTGGCACGGGCGTGTGGAATGGTGTTATTGGGATTGCTTGTTCTTGTTGTGCGTGGAGTGGGGTTAGTGGAACGCGCCCCCGTGTGGGTTTGTGGCCGCGTTGCAAGTCTGCGCGCGTCGTGCGTCAGCAGAAGAGACTCGGGCGGTGAAGGGCGAAGTGGGCGTGGCACCTTCATAGCTTAAAATCAAATGAAATTCCGGTTTTTATTACGTTAATTTGCATTTTTTTTTACATTATGAAACTGCTCTTAACTCCCCAAAATCTCAAACAGCATCAAAATGTAAAAATCGGCTCAGTTAGTTTGTTCTTTACAAGTCAGAAAATAGTCGGAAACGTGTTAAAATGACAGAAATTTACACGTGGACAGATTTTTGCAAAGGATTAAAGTCTCTGTATGCCTAAAATACTTGAAATCAGGCCAAATGCAACCTTAAACGCAACAACTAATCCACCTTCACAGTTTAAAACAAAGTAAAATTCTGTTTTTTAATGCGTTAATTTGCATTTAAAGGCATGTTTTGATTATCAAACTGCTCAAAAATCCTCCTCAGAAATCTCAAACAGCACCAAAATGTAAAAATTGGCTTAGTTAGTTCCTTACAAGTTAGAAAATAGTCAAAAATGTGTGAAAATTACAGAAATTTGCACATGAACAGATTTTGTAAAGGATTAAAGTCCCTTAAATACTGGAAATCGGGCCAAATGCAACAAGTAATCCACCTTGACAGTTTAAAATGCAATAAAATTCAGTTTCTTTATGTGTTAATTTGCATTTAAAGGCTTTTTTAAAATTATGAATCTGCTTTTAACTCCCCAAAAATCTCAAACAGCATCAAAATGTAAAACTTTGTTCAGTTCGTTTGTCCTTTACTAGTTAGAAAATAGTCAAAAATGTGTTAAAATTACAGAAATTTACATATGGACAGACTTTTGCAAAGGATTAAAGTCTCCGTACTGCTAAAATACTGGAAATCGGGCCAAATGCAACCTTAAACGCAACAAGTAATCCAGTTATTACATAATCGCAGACTCCCTTACTGGTCCTAAAATAGAGAAGTGTGTATTAATTCCGCTGTGAAATTATATAATATGTTTTTGAGTGTCTGGGGATTGGATTTTTGTGCGGTAAATGTTCAGTAACTAGGATCTCTGTTACTGAAGTGCGTATATGAGGCAAAACGCAATGAGTAATCCAGTTGTTGCATAATAGACTCCCTTGCGACTCTTAAAACCGAAAATTAAAAATTACACAACATGCAAATAAGTGCTGGGGGATTAAACTCTTGTGCAATAAATGTTACTACTAAGTTACTACTGAGAACTGGTATCAGACTAAATACAAGTTAAAAAGCGTCACTGATCGTCTGGTTTGAATACTAGATTATAATAGTAAACAGTGATCATTTTCTGGTATGAAATGCTCAAAATGTGTTTGTTGTGTGTTTTTCGCAGACTTTGGGTCACTTGGAGAAGGCCGTTGTGCTTGAGTTAACACTAAAACATGTGAAAACACTGTCTACGTTACTAGAGCAGCAACAGCAGAAGATACTGGCTCTTCAAAATGGTCTGCAAATCGGTAAGAAAGCATCAAACTTGGCTTAAAAACTACAAATATGGATGCAAATAGTGTGATTAAATATCGCTCAGATATTACCTATTGTAAATATAAATTAAAATAGCAATTTGTGAAGAAAAGTACACCAAAAATACACCAAAATAAGCAGCTTTTGAAAATATTTTTACTTGTCAAATCATTTCTATGTACATTAGAGGAGTTTTGTATTTGTGTGACATGGTTGCTAGGTTACGGTGTTGGAATTCCCCAGTGTGAAATCATGATTTACGACCAGAAAGTGAAATTTGAAGTCTAAAAGTTTTGTCAAAGCAGGAACAAAATGATAAAATTTTTTGCTAAATCTTAAATCTAATAATCTCAAGTGTGTTTTGGTAAAATGTGTTGTCTAAGTTTTCATAGTTTTTAAAAATGTGTGGTGTTTTTGTGTTTTTAGATCAACCCGTGGTCAACCAGGAGAAGTCCGAGGAGATGTTCCGCTCCGGTTTCCACATGTGTGCCAAAGAAGTTCTCCAGTTCATCGCAAACCACGAACAAGACCGCGAATTCAGCCTGTCCCACGTCATCACCCACCTCCACAAGGTCGCCTCCGAGGTCCTCCACCCGCCCCAGCGGCCGTGCACTCCCCCCAGCCCCGAGCCCCAAGACGTCCAGCCCTACCACCACCAGCACCCGTCCCACAAAGAAATCTCCCAGGAAGAGGTCCAGACCAGGCTGAGCCCCGCCCCGAAACCCACCGCCAATGAGGGCTACGTCAAGAACTGCGTCTCTGTCATCCAGAGAACGTACGCCAGCCAGGGAGGGGAGCAGAGCGGGAGCGACACGGACACGGACAGCGGGTACGGCGGCGAGCTGGAGAAGGGAGAGTCCAGGGCGCAGGCGGGTCGACCAGAGTACTACGCCTCCGAAAGTCATCTCAAACGGGCCCTGAGCGACCGACAGAGCTCCACCATCAAGCTGGAAGAAGAGATGCCTCGACACAAGAGACCAAGAGCCGAATCGTCCGAGGATGAGGTTTCTAGCGGCGAATCGTCTTCGTCGAGCGGCTACGCCAGCTACTCCCCGACGCACGGTCCGCCGCCTCCTCCGCCCCACCCGCTATGCATGCCTTTCTACCTCATTCCACCCTCGGCAGCGGCTTACCTGCCCATGCTGGAGAAGTGCTGGTACCCGGGGGCCAGTATCCCGATGCTGTACCCAGGCATGGGGGGCTCGTCTCCGGCCGGGGAGCGTCCAGGCCCACCCTCTCTGGTGCTGTCGCCCAGGGGAGGCTCACCCGCTCCGGTCATCTCCTCCTCTCACTCCCCCATGGACTCACCCGCCCTACTGCAAGCGCTCAAGCAAGTGCCACCCCTCAACCAGGAAACCAAAGAGTGAAGTGAAGGCCCGAGCGTTCACACGGACTAAAGGACACAGTATTAGTGGGAGGAGCGCGACTACAACTGAGCCATTTCGCATAAGCTTTGCAGGAAATTCTACTAGCCTGGCCACAAACTAGAAATTCGTATTGTAACTCTAAATATATTAACCAATGAAAACAAGTTGGCAACAAAATAAGCTTCAGAAATGTTACAAATCTATTTACGTGCCCTAAAAATCTGCTGTATTTTCGTTAAAAGTGTATCCATGGATTTCAGAATTCTGAAAATTGACTTTGCGATTAACAATTTATATTGCTATATCTTTTAAATTGTGAGAAGTCCTCAAAAATATCCAATTTATGGCTTTAAAGTCGTGTAATATGACTGAAAATTCAAAAGTGAAATGGCGTTAAATGGCATGGCTACGGTCCTAACTTTTCATCATTCTGAAACCCATGAGTTGGTCGGTATCCGTGGGTTGGTTGCCATAGCAAATAACAATTCAAAACAATATTTTATGACTTTTTAATCACTCAACAGTCCTCAAACTTCCACAATAACACCTTTCTATTTATGTAACCAATCAGAGAACGACACACAATGAGATTTTTGACACTTAACATTGGTAATACATGGAATAATTTTCAAAAAACAATGAAAATTTGCTTCGAATTTCCATTTTCTGACCAGGTTAGTTTATTTTAAAAGCCAACTCTCTTGCCGAATGTTCCCTTAATGTAAGATAAAACTCCCCCCGCCCTCCTCACTGGTGTTTGAATGTAGAGAGACTTTTCAAGATGCTGCTGATATGAACCGTTGCAGAAGACTTTTTTGCACCACTTTTCTGCCCCCTCCCCCCTTTTGCACCAAATCTTAGCACCAAAACGCCCGCGGTCACGTTTTGCACCAGGCACTCTTCTCTCTGCACACTGTGTCAACACTGCGAGTGTGTACAGTCCCGACCATCCGACCACAATGAATGCAACGATTCCTCAACACGCGACAGTTTTATGTAATTATTGTCCATATATTGTTGTACATTTCTATTTTTGATACCTGTTTTAGCGCTATAGGAGCAGAGAGTGGACAATAGTACACTACCAGTCAAAGGGTTCGGACACACTTTTTCATTTTTGTCCTTTGTTTTAAGGAATTGTTTATGTTGTAGATTCGCACTGAAGGCATCAAAACTATGAATGTAAACTGAAAATAACTCAAAAGTTGTAACTCTTTGCGCACTTTTGTCATCTCCTGACCCTGAGAAGGCAAAGCAGTGAAGTGAAAACCATTTCAGGAGAGCAAAGTGAGGATTTGAATCTAAACTTAAAAAAAATGACTTAAGTTATTTCGCAATTTTTGGTCACAGCATAATCCCATCTATCTTACTTCATATATTTGATGTCTTCTGCATTTATCTAAAATGTGGAAATCTCTGAGAGTGTGTGAAGGTGTGTCCGTTCTCCAGCCTGGCGGTGTGTGTATGTATATTGTGTGCATACAGTAGCACTGTGGCGGACCTGCGTATCTCAAATCAAACCTGGTGTTTGTTTTTGCTGTTGCCTTGTGATCTAGACTCTCTCTGTCCCTCTGTGTTTACTGTAAGAACAGTGCAGTCGGAGGAGGAGAGCCCGTGAATGTTTCAACATGAGAATAGTTTTTATAGAGAGAGGTACTTAAGATGTTCTATTTTGGGACCTACCTGAAAGAAGCTCGATGTAAATACTGTATTTTGTCTATAAATGTTGATATACAATATAAGTGTATTAATAAAGTTATTATTTTTCCCGTGGAACAGTTGTCAGTGTTTCTTATCTTATGTCTGATACACTTAACTGTGATAAAAAGACAAGGGCAGAGAAGCTAAAAATTGTAAAAGTATCATATCATTACTTCAAAACAACACTTAAGTAGAAGTACAAAGAGGTCAAAGAAATGACAAGGGGAATTGGAGGAAACGACTCAAATGAAATCAGATTTTCGCAACATGCAAATTTATCCAGATCATAAAATAAATGTAAAATGAATCTGTCAGTTTTTAATCTCAACGGGACTTTCCTGGTCTCCTGGTTGGGGGTGGGATGAAATCTTAAAGTTTTCTTCTTCCCACTCCTTTTTGTGGTGGTTATTTTTATAATTTCTATTTCACTAAAGTTTTCTAAATAAATCTCTTACTTGCCCTGAATAAATACATAAATTAAAAATAAAATCAAAATAAGTACAGGTGAAACAGATAAAACAAAAGCATAAACATAAATCCTTCATTTGTCAGAACTGACAGCAGCATCGTCGTAGGATTGGACAGTTGTTTATGTGTGTTTTGGACTCTTCGTTTGACACCAACATCAGTGAGGACAGTTACAGAAACGGGGTTCAGCACATGCACCTACATAATTATGGAAGCACGAGCCGCCTCAGCCTTGAACCCGTCTGTGTGGGCTCAACACTCAGGTGATTCTGTCCCAAAAGTGAGACTGAAGAACCTACAGCTGCTCACAGACTCCAGGTGCACTGTGGCTCAGCTGCGTTCAGGATACACTCGACTCTTGAGCTCATACCTGAGTTGGATTGACACTATACATCACTAACACGTGTCCAGGGTGTGACCAAACACCTCACACAATACAGCCCTCTTCACACTTCTCACCCTCCTCACCCTCGTCACCCTCTTCACCTGCCCTGCAAAGCGAACACCACCAGGTCTCCGTGTGCACTGTAAACTATAAACCCAAACGTTCAAAGTAATTAAACAGATTAAGTTGTGTTTACTCAGAGATTTAGAAATAGTCCTACTAACTTACTCAAGTTGCTGTCACATGTTCTTCTTTTTGAGTAATTTAAACTTTTTTTTTTTTCTATTAAAATTAACTCTTGTGGGTATAAGTGAGCATAACTCAAAAACACAGATGACGTACAACTTAGAATTAAGTAATTAAACACTGGGGATGATAAAGTCCTGTTATTTCTACTGTTTCTATTGATTTAATGATAAACTTAATTTAAGGAGGCCTCGGGGAAGACCCAGAACACGCTGGAGGGACTATGTCTCTGAGCTGGCCTGGGAACGCCTAGGGGGAGGAGCTGGAGGAAGTGTCTGGGGTGAAGGAAGTCTGGGAGTCCCTGCTTAGACAGCTGCCCCCGCAACCCGGCCCTGGATAAGTGGGAAAAAAATGTATGGACTGATAAACTTAATGCTAATACACAGTACAATTTCAAAGTGTTTCACCAAATAAATACTAAAATCTATTCTAACAAACAAATTGCAATCACACAACATAATAATTTGATCTAGGAAAACAGTCTGAAATGCACATGGGACTAAATGACTTATTTTATTTTATATAATTACTGTCCTTTTTTTAATTTTGAAGTCATAATAAATGAAAATTACTGAGTTGTCTTAACAGAAAACTATGAGTCACATGAACTGCAAATATGTGACATTTAACTTCATCAGCTTAAAATAATTGAGGCAATTGACTGACTCAGTTATTTTGAGTTCTGGTAAATTGTTTGGGTTCACAGTGTGGGATCTTCTCGTTGGACAGACCCTCCTGGAGCTGCAGAATTCCTGGAACTAACTTAGAAGACGATGAAAGACGACTCGAGTTACAACAACAACAACAACAACAACAACAACAACAACTGTCACATTTACACCTGTGTGGTCTGATACTGGTATTTACTGACGCTATTTTAAAGACGCATTATGTAACTTTACTGCAGGAGGGTTCACCACCTGTTTGTCTCCATGTTTGGTCTGGAACATTCCACAGTATGGCATTACACTTTTCTGTCTTAGATGAACTGAATTACAGCGGAGAAAACAAAAATCACTTGAAAGTTTTACACGCTTATTGTGAGTGGGATCCCCTCTCCACAGATCTGACCTGGCAGGCACAGCAATAACATCTCCATGGAGACAAGCAGCTGGTGGGGAAAAGTGACATGGTGCAGCTTTAAAGTGGAGTTAGTCCTTCAGGATATTGGAGTCTTTTACTAACTGCAGATAGTTTAAGTGTAATGTAATGGGAGCGTTACTTTCTAGGGACAAGAAATATGAAGTATACAAAGGACAACAACGCCCTCTCCTGGTATAAAACACACACTACAACACTTTATCAAATGTAGCAGCTGATTTTATTTGTAAAACTTTTCTTCTTCTACTTTTAAAATACAGTATGAACAGTACACATATTTGAATACCTTTAATTCTTTTGTTTCATGCTAATTCATTGGATTTTACCAAATATTAATAAAAAGACAAAAATAATTAAATTTAACATTTTCACATTATATGCACTTACTTTTGATGTTAGTGACAAACCTTGAAACAATATAAAGAGACAAAATATTTAAAATTAATTAGACAAAAAAAACAGTAATTCTACTAATTTTTACAGGATCAACTCAAATAAATTATTTAAAAAATAAAATTAAATCAAAAGCCAACAAGGATATTACAAGTCTGACAACTTGTAAATGTTTGTGTAAAACCTTAGAAATAATACAGAACATGGTAGAGCACCAAAAACATCATTTTACATGATCAAACCTGACGTTCAAACCTGATGAGTCCTGAGACAGTGCTGTAGAAACACAATAGAAGATAAATAAAAAAACAAACAAACATGTTTACAAGTAGACGATTGACACAGTAAAGAAAAGTAAGTAAAGTATCATAAATTGGGCTTTGTTCAAGAACCAAAACAACTGCTTTCAGGGACTTCTTGTGTTACGCCATTTTGAGGACTTTTGACCGTTGGAAACTTCGACATTAATATTTATTATAAGTAACTCTGGATGTAAAAATAACCAAAATATCATGACAGCGTATCATCAAAGTTCGCACAATAATATCGTGGACCATCACAATATATCAAATTACACATCTCTTTGCTTAAATTAAGAGTTATGGTGCAGCAATAGCTAAAAAAAACACAGAGGGAACTACATAGACCATAATCCTTTGCTCCATTTCAATGCAGACTACAAGAAGAAATAACAATTCTAACACTTTTAAGTTTAGTTCTTTGGGTTAAGTCTTGTTAAGGCATTTTAAGAGGAAAAAGTAGCATTAACTGTTTTGTTAGTCCACAAAATATTGCAATAAATATCGTACCGTGAGATGTATATCGTGAAAATATCGTACAGAGAGATTTGGATATTGTTACATGTCTGATCGTGAGCCTCCATATCATATCGTGAGCTTTCCCACGATATCGCAATAAATATCGTATCGTGAGGTTCATACCGTGACGATATCGTATCATGAAACTTGGATATCGTTACACCCCCATTATTAACTCATTTATACTGTATTGTTGACTTATAAATCGCTATGGCAACGGTTAAAATCTTTCATCACACTGAACCCAATCACCACATTTCCCTTTACAATTTATGTTCACTGGACACCATTTTGAGGACTTTTGACCACTGAAAAGGCTGACTACATTGTTAAGAGTTGTAAATTGCCATGGCAACAGTCCTAATTTTTCATTATTCTAAAATCCATGGATATTTACCTTAAATATCTTTACAATTTCTGTTCATTCTGTTTATTTATGGCCACACTTTGTTCGTAGGGAAGTAAAAAAAGCTGTTTTCTGTGCGCACTGGAGTGAACCGAGTGAAAAGTGGGTTTACGACTGAACATTCTCCCAGCTGTAATGTTTGTTCTCAGGCTGAAGACCTGGATGGAGGGCAGGGTCAGACAGGTGCGGTGTTGGGGGTCAGGAGCCGCGGGGGGCAGGGTGAAGCGGTGACAGGTGCTCGGGTTGGTCCTGGCGTGGGGGGGTCCGCAGGGGTTAAAGGAGAAGGACAGGCTCCGTGGGACCAGGGGGGCCGAGGAGGATCCGTGGCCCAGACGACGTGCCTTCCTCTGGGGTTCGGCGTGGGCGACGACGGGCAGCTCTGGAGGGAGGAAGTGCTGCTGAGGCTTGTACGCAGAAGAGGAGAGCTGGAGAACAAAGAGTTTACATTCATTTCTAGAACACAGGAAGAGTCTGCAAACTGTGTATCATACGTTCATTTGTTTTTCAAAATAAAACTAAAAATAAGAAAATGAAAAAATAACAGTTTCCTTATTTGTCTCCAAAACCAAAATGAAAAAATGGATGATTAATTTTTTCCATGAAAAAATGGATAACGGTGTTTCCCGTTTCCGTGACTTAAACTGCGATGTCGGACTTTTGCACCACATACGGACTGAAAAAGGATTAAAACAGAACTAAACAGTTTTCAGTCATGGTCTGGTTCCGGTCTCAGTCCTGGTCCTGTTCCCAGCCTCAGTTCTGGTCTGGTCCCGGTTTCATATATAATATAACATATATAATATATATATATGAAACCAGCACCAGACCAGAACTGAGACCATATATATATATATATATATATATATATATATATATATATATATATATATATATATATATATATATATATATATATATATATATATATATATATATATATATATATATATAATATATAGTACAGAATAAGAAGAAGAACAGTGCTGATCCCTGTCCTGAATACTGTGCAGACCTTGGAGGCTGTGTTCTTGTGTGAGGTCTGGGCCTGTCTCCTCTTCTCTGAGCGATTCTCTTTGTTCGACTGCACCATGATCGCCAGAGTGTGGGACTTCTGCACCGAGAGCTTCTGGGTGATGTCCCCCTCCTCCAGGTAGGACAGGCCAGGTGCAGGGGCAGGTGCAGGTGCAGGGGAGGCAGCAGCAGGGGGCTTCAACTGGGCTCGATGTCGTCTGATAGGAGCCCCTTCGATGAGCAGGTTCACCCCGATGTACTGAGGGACCTCCACCGCAGGCTGCAACACAAACACACCTCCAGACACAAGACACTGAACACACACTGCATCACAAAGTCACAACACAACGCATCAGATTATCAGACATTTGAGGCATTTATTTAACTATAGATCAGGGCTGGGCAATTCATTTTTTCCACAGGGCCACATGAGAAAAAGAAAATATTGTGGAGGCCAAAATGCTTAACTCAGTTCTGCATAATATGAATTGTATTTCTTTATAAAAAACACAAATTGGGTTGTTTTGATGAACTGCTCAGACTTTTAAGAGTTCATGTTATGACTAAGCAATGGGCTGTGCACAAGTTTTCAGAAATGATAAATTACATTATGTTCCAACAGTAATCAGCAGATACATAAAGGCAATTATTTTACGTTACTGATCATGAATATAGTCTACAAAAAAAAATCTATAATTCCAAAAAGGAGTGAGGAGAAGCATTGGCCCCCAGCCCCTTTTACAAAGCTATTAAAGCAAAAATGTGCTTCTGCCAGACTCTTATAATATTAAATCATGTTAATCCAGACACAAAATAAATAAGTGCATTTCAAAATGTTTTAGCATACATTCACATGACAAATGGACTTAAATTCCTTCTTCTGCATATTTAGTTATAATCATATCTGGGCATTTTTTCAGCTCATCACTCATAGAGTATCAAACTCACAAGAAGATCAAGTTGTGGCACCTATAATTTTAGGTGTGATTCAGATTATATGTTTGTAGTGTAGGTGGTGTATTCGCTGTTTGATTCACTCAAGTGTACTTCATTTTGAGTGTGTGTGCTACAAATGTATATCAATGATAAATGGTCACATTTATATACAACGCTTTTCCACTTTCAAGACTTAAAGTGTTTTACAGCAAGGAACCACTCACACACACACACGCACACACACACACACACACACACACACACACACACACCAGGGCACACAGACACTGGGGGAGAAGTGGGTTAAGTGTCTTGCCCAAGGACACAACAACAGCATTCATCTGTGGGAGCTGGAATCACACCTCCAACCTGTGGGTTAGTGGACCTGACCATTCAACCCATGACATTTATGTCGAGAATTCAACCACCAACCTTCAGATCAGTGAACAAACCACCAACTGAGCTACTGTGTAGGTTTTAACAGAGTAATACTTTGCAGAATATCATAAACATCACTGATACTTTACAGCTGACGTCATCAGCATTCTCTGGGAACCTGATGCTCACTGAAGACTCTGTCTGAAGCTCTGTTACTCAAGTTCAATTATATCTGATCTTTATTTTAACATAATCTGACAAGAAAGATCTGACGTAGTTGAAATTACAAGAGGTGAGCTGAATTGCACTGTTAAACAAGTCCCTCTCAAATAACATTACAGTCATAATCTAACATTAGTCAAAGTTTTTTCAATTTGTCACTTTCACTTTTTTGTTGAAAGCCAAACTTCTAAACAGAACCATGAACGCTTGTGTTGTTCACAAACTCATGAAAATGTGCTGTTTAAAACCATTTTTTGTTTTTTCTTGAGTTTTCAGACAATCTTAAAAGCTTTGCTAATGTCTGTATTGTGTCTGCATTGTGAACTTTCCACCATAGAGATACATATAGAACACCCCCAGTGTGATGTCAGTGCAAAGTATCAAAGTTTAATGGTCCTATGTTGCACAAAACTCCACAGCTCCACTAGAGCTCCTCCAAAACTCTGCAGCACGGCTGCTGACGAGGACCAGGAAGAGAGAGCACATCACTCCAGTACTGAAGTCTCTGCACTGGCTTCTTCTGAGCTTCAGGATAGATTTTAAAGTTCTTTTATTGGTTTATAAAGCTCTTAATGGTCTTAGTCCTATTTATTTATCTGATCTGCTTTAATCATATGAGCCTCTCGGACTCTCAGATCCTCAGGTAGTCTCCTTTTAACTGTCCCAAGAGTTCAAACTAAAACTCACGGTGAGGCGTCATTCAGCTTTTACGGCCCCCGTCTGTGGAACAGTCGACCTGAGGATCTGAGGTGTGTGAGTGTTCATATTTTTAAAAGTAAACTCAAAACGTATCTTTTCAATTTAGCTTTTAATTTAAACTTTTACTTGTTTTATCATTATTATTATTATTATTATTATTTGCTTTTACTTAAATTACCATTACTATTTTATTTAGTCTCCATCTGTTTTTAGCTCTCCATTTATATTTTTACTATAACCTTTAGGAGCTTTATGTTTATGTTTTATTGTTGTATATATGCAGGAAATAATGGGTTGGGGGGGTTGCTGTTGTTTTTAATATTGCAATTTTTTTCTGTTGCATGTGAAGCACTTTGTGCTACATTTCAAATGTATGAAAAGTGCTATACAAATAAAGTTTGATTGATTGATTGATTGACAAAACTGACTCGTGTGAGCTCTAAACCATGTTATAATGTTGTTACATCACCAAAAACATACATGGAGTTGTGTTTTGTTTCATTTACATATGTTTGAGTTATTAGTCTGTCTACATCTCCAGAGCTCAAAATGCTCTGTTCCACCTTGTGATGTCATGAAGCTGTAGTTTTCAAGTGAACAGTTCCTTTTACCTTTAGTTCAGAAGAGACAGGAAATTCCAGGGCTGAAATGATCCAAATGATTCTAGTGAAGATGTACGGAGTTTAAAAATACACTTCCTGTATTACCACATGACATCACAAGGTAGAACAGAGTGTTTTCTGTTTGAGAGAAGAGCTCTATAATCTAAATGTGCAGGTTTATAGGTTAATAGTTTCATATGTCCCTTTAAATGACAGTTACCTGATGATCAGTCTGACCTGTTTGTAGATGAGTTGAAAGGCCCCTGTGTTGGCGTTGGGGTTGTTCCTTCGGTCCAGTATGACCCTGAGCGTGTCGGTCTGCACGGCGGGGCACAGGCGAGCGGTCACCTCGGTGGAGCAGCACATGGTGGGGCTGGCGTTTATCTCCAACAGCCACGGCCTCAGGTCCTGTCCCAGCATGAAGTCTGCTCCGTACAGCTCGAAACTGGACCTGCGCGGTACCACCGAGTCCTGGGCGGTCTGCAGAGCCCGGACCACCGCCTGCCTCATCCCCGGGACCACCACGCTCCCCCACAGCTCCTCACGGCCCTGCTCAGAGAGGAAGCTCCGGAACTGGGCACAGGACCACATGTTGTCCTCGGGCAGGTCTGGGTGTCTGTCTTTGGACGGCTGGAAGTGCTTCTGGATGGAGTTGTTGCACAGGTGAACTGAGCTGAGGAGAAAAACATGTCTATTAGTCAAATCGAACTGCACTGGTCTCATTATAAAGATTTTTTCACGATGAATGTTGCCATGGCGATCAGCAATTAAAGGCTAAACATTTCCTTAGAATGGAAAAAGGCCTCTTAATATTGCAGATAGTATTATTATATACAAGCAGCTGAAACTCAGGCTCCGGTTACAAATAAGGTTACAAATAATGAAATATTTATAATTACCATATTTTCTGGGCTATTAGGCGCTCTGGATTATAAGGCGCACAGTCATTAAATGGTCTATTTTCGAACTTTTTTCACAAATAAACCGCACTGGACTTTAAAGGAAACACAACAGTTGGATGGGTGAGTGGTTTTGTTTGTTTGGCGCATTCACGGTGACTCTGGGCTTTGTTCAGTCGTGGCGTGTAGGGAGGGTGCTGTCTGGGACCGCTGGATTGTCGGCATGTTTGCAGTGACTCAGTTGTTCAGTTGTGTCTAGAAGTGGCACACTGGATTCGCTTTTTCGTTCTCGTTCGTTCCTCCGTTCCATTCCTCGTCGGCATGGAGTGATGAGTGTGTCTGTGGGTGTTTTTTGCTGTGCGGTCCCTGTCTGCTCCGTGTGTGTTTGCATGTTCTGCAGGTTGTGCAGCTTTGTAGTTTACTGAAGTTGTGCTGGGACACCCGAGTGGATTTGTGTATTGGGTGCTCTGGATTGTGGGGCGCACGGTAGATTTTTGATGGGGTTAGAGGCTTAAGAGCGCGTCTAATAGCCCGGAAAATACGGTATATACCTGAAGAAGTGTTTTGTTTCTATGCAGGTTTTAGAAATCCTGCAAAAGAAATGAGCCCTTTTCTCAAAACACACAAAATTTTTTTTTATTATAGTGTCTTACACATTTGTGCCTGTATGGGCTCAAAGGACACTGTAAACACATTTACAATCAGCCACAGATCGATAAATAAACAAATAAACGCTCTGACAAAAAACATACTTGAGTCATACAGGATCTGCAGGTTATTTCTCTGAGTCTCCAGAGTCGTAACATGCAGACAGAGACACGTCCAAGTTTCTCTAATTCTATGGACATTCTTAGGGTGACCAGATTTGTTATGTAATGGACTAAAACAAAAACTTCCTCATAAGGAACTTCCTATAAAGCCAATTTATCATTTTGTAATCTGGCAACCAAAATACATGAGGTTTTGATGCCTGTACAGCAGTAAATAAAATATTCTTCAAATCAGAATACAGAGGACAGTAAAGAACCAAATGAAACTCATCCTGTGCATATTTTATTAGCCTCCTTTTCAGCAGATCAAAACCCTGTCCCCCCAGTGAAAAACCTAAAATGTCTCTCTGATCTAAATGGTCACTCCCTAAACCCCAGCTCCTGGACCAGTGTTGAGTCAGTGCTAGTGCAGCCTCTGCAGCTCAGGGAGGGAATTCTGGAGCTTCTAAGTTTTCACATGAGGCATGTCTAGAATGACCAGGTGTCCCTATTTACCCAGAACAGTTCCAATTTTGAGCCTGTGTCCCCTGTCCCAGCAGATTTATCCAAAACCACTGATTTTGTCCAAGTTTTATACAAGAAATGTCCCAGGTATACCTATTTTTGACCAATCTGATCCCTGACAACAGTAACTGTCATTTGTTTTGGTAAAATATAGAGAAGCTGCTTAAAAATGACCAAAACACCAAGAAACTGTGACTAAACCGACTCACATTAGTCCTGAGTGCAGAACAATTTTCCTTAATTACACACTCATTTCACAATTTTATTATTACCAACAATCGCAAAACAGGGATGTCCCACTTTTTTAATTTTGAAAATCTGGTCACTCTAACCATGTCAATAGAATGAGACAAACTTGGACGTGTCTCTGTCTGCAGGTTACAGCTCTGAAGACACAGTTCAGTTGTGATTGTACCTTTTTTAAAACATGATAATAGGCTCTGTGCACAAAAGCGCCCGGCAACCACACTGTCAGCATCACTACTTCCTGTCCATTTTTATCTCTCTGAAGTTTTTGCTGAGTCGTGCTAAATGAATAAATATTTAAAGATGAGGCAGTGAACAGGAGCTGTGGGGGGACGTCACTGATAACATGTTCAAAAGTACACTCATCAAATGAATACTTCACTGAGGACCAATGTGGCCCTTGGAAAGGTACAAGTTTATGTCTAATCCTAATTTTGAGGCATAAGAACATGACAGACTGAAGTCATCTACATTAGAAAATAATTGTGTAGGCTTTACTTTAATTAATTTGAATTTTAAAAGGTTTTTTATTTTATATTTTATTAAAAGTGACTTAGCTTTCAGACACAGTGTGCTGCTGTGTAGTCTATTACATAACAACATTTATGGATTTCCCCCCATATATAGATGCTTTGCACTGTCACGTGACCCCTACAGCAATGGTAACCGCCATGACACCGGGCACACGAGATCAAGCATGGCCGCTAAACAGAGCGAGAGTGTTCCATCTCTCCCGAAATATCTCGACTCGCTAGCCTCAGATGAACAAAAAAACTACTTGGAAAAGCTAAAATTAATCTCTAATATCGATCCTTACAATGTGAGCACCAGTTTCTACTCCGATTCGATAGAATCATGGCCAGAAGTAGAATTTCTACTTGATATTTGCGATCAGTAGCTACATCAAAGAGCAGATCAAGGCTTATAAACACCTAGAGGCGTACCAGTCTTTAGTTTCTGGGTGGGTCAGATGTGTTTATGTAGGAAAAGCTACCAGTAATGTCAAGGTTTTGATTGGAAAGGTAAGCGTTTTCCAAAATTTCAACACGATATTCATTTGTTTATAAACGCAACGGAAGGCGAAAAAAAATCTAATGTTATTTTCATGCAGGATAACCACTCTCAGCGATTGAACGAGACACCTCTAAAGCCTTGAATCGCAGCAGCTAATGAAGGGACGATAATAACAGCCCACTGCAATTATATGGCAGGCTTAGGTATTTTTATTGTCTTGCTTATCCACAACTACGTCTTCTAGAATTAATCGCTTTTTACGAGTGGATCTTTCTAACATTCGCAAGGATCTTTTCATGGCCGATTCTTTCGAGGTTCAGCTCACAGAGCTCTTCGACTCGTACCCCATATTGATAGTAGGAGCCCAATCTGGGTTCTAGTGCGAGTTCTCCTGGATAAATTAATGAAATTTTAGTTCAGTAAATGTGCTTCTCTCATTAAATAAGCTATGAAACAATTTAAATAGCAAATACCTTGATGAAAGTGACGCGATCAAACTTTGGGTGACTTGATGATACCATTGGAAATCTCTTTGTGGTTTATGTTCTCTAGCCATAATTCCCATCTTTTTTTCAATAATTCCTTTGTTTGAGCTCCTGATGAGTAATTTCTAGAGGAACAGTGAAGAAACGACTCGTTTTATCCCTTTCAGAGCGTCTAGAACAACCAAATACACAACAAAACCTGCCCATGTTTCTCCGATGCTACTGAAGTTAATGGCATAGCGTTGCTATAGGGGTCACGTGACGGTGCAAAGCCTCTATTTCTTGGGTTTGATCTAAATTATTCCCAGGTCAAGTGCAGCTCCTGTGCATGTAGATGTTGGTGTAGTGTGTGCAGACCTGTGCAGGTTCTTGGTGGAGTAGGGCTGGGTGGAGAAGCGCAGATAACACTCTCCATAGAACCACACGGTCAGAGGGTTCCAGTCTGTCACCAGGAACCACTGACGCACGTCGAACTTTGTGTGGTGCACCAGCAGGGGGCGCTCCAGGTACTTCTGCACCACCCAGCGACTGTCCCTGATCACCGCCCTGTCCCTGTCCACCAGAGCCATGATGTCGTCCAGACGGTTCAGACAGATGATGCCTGCGACAAGAGGAACGCTTAAGCTCCTCGTCTACCAGAAAGATGACTTCATTTTGAACCTACATCTACATGAGATTCACCTGCTTGAGGGGTGAATTTACAGTGTTGGGGAGTAACAGATTACATCAGTTACTGTTACTGTTTCAATGAGAGGTAATTGGATTACAGTTACTTTGTTGAAATACATAGATTACACGGCGGTATTTTCCTGTTTTCACATTTCGGGCTATGTCCCTTTTCTTTTCTTTTTTTTTCGGTAATTCCACTCATTGTCAGACACTAAACCAGGTCCAAACCAGTTCTAAACCAGTTCTAAACCAGGTCTAAAACCAGGTCTAAACCAGTTCTAAACCAGGTCTAAAACCAGGTCTAAACCAGGTCTAAAAACAGGTCTAAACTAGGTTTAAACCAAGACTAAACCAGGACTAAACCAGGTCTAAAACAGGATTTAACAGGACAAAATGCTGCATGGACCGTGTCTCCTCGTCTTCTATCAATAATATTTTTAATAGGTTTAAGTAAAGTCTGGGCTTTTTATTTTCTTGTAGCAGACAAAACATCTTATGTGAAGATATCCTCATCTTTGCTCCTCTAAACCAAATCAAGTAATCCAAAGTATTCAGATTACGTTACTCACCTTAAGTAATTTAATGGATTCCGTTACAAACTACATTTTGGGGTATGTAATCTGTAGAGGAATATGTTTTAAAAGTAACCTTCCCAACACTGTGAATTTATCACTTTTTCTTGTCATTTTTACAAATTTTAAAGCCACACTTTGTTATTTTCAGATGTCATGTCATCATGTCAAGTGTTATGTCATACTGTGTAATGTTCTCATCCTCACCTCGGCCCCTGGACTTGGCCCCTGGTTTGATGATCCAGATGTTGTTGACTCCGTCGGTGTCGAGTTGAGGACAAACGTTTCGGAGCCTCTGGAGCATCTGTGCACACGATTGCAGGAAGAGGGCGCTGTTTCTGATCTCTGCTCCATCACTGAAACACAGAGAGGATCAAATAAAATAAAAAATAAAATAGTAACATTCCCACCACCTGCTTGTATCCATGGATAGCATTGTCACTATAATCACTGTATTGATTTATTGTTTTTTGGAGCTGATATGATACCGATAAAATGGGAGTTGGAGGTGACAATAGCTGATCAATCAATCAGTCAATATATTTCAATCAGTCAATCAGCTGATCAGTCAATATATTTAGTGATGTAAAAAATTCACTGTAAGTCTTCAAATAATTATAAAACCTAGGCCTGGCCCTACTGGATTTTAAATTGGGTTTGTTTAGGCGACATTTATTGTTATTCTGTGTCTTTACAGTCATATTTAAAGTCAGTAGATTGGCCTAATAGCATTTTTGCATCACATTAACCAATAAACAATGTAAGTAAACTACCATTATCAGTCTAGCGGTAAATGCATATGCACCACAGTACTTAATGATATGTGTAAATTCCGATCATTCACACCTCTATTCACAGCTCATTTACATATCACTACAGGTTCAGTCACATTTACAGACACTATAGTCACTGTCACTAGGCCAATGGAAGAGAAAACAGGCTGTTTGTTTAGCCTCAAAGCAGCTAAGGGCTAAAGTAGCAAAACCAACACATTTGCAACACTCACGGCTCACAGAGACTCCTCTCAGATCACAAGTTTTCACTAATAAGTGGTCTTCTAATCCTGATTCAAAACAACTGTCTGTAAAAAGAAAATATTCCAGCATGTTGACAGCAGTGTTTCCTTTGTCCTCCATGGGACAGTCCTCTGTGTGTCGGACAGTCTCTTTTCTCCGCATTCACACTTTGATAAAAACAGCAGTAGTTTGGTTTCTGGCCTAAACTGCGCTGAAGTTCACTTTTATTTACCATCAGTGTTGTGGAGCATTTCAAGCAGCGCCTCAGTGTTGTTAAGCCGATATGTCTCCAAGTGTCCATATCAGCCGATAATATCAGCCAACTGATATATCAGTCAAGCCCTGTTGTTGAGTATAAAAAGGCTAGAACAATATTTCTGGGGCTCAATATTTATTGTGTGTAGATTTTTTTTTGTGTGGAACTTGTTCTTATTTTTATCTAGTACAGTTTGAGCTGGGGAACAGGAGACTGAGTTAATTGTGTGTTTAATTCTGCTATCATTTATGACAGCTCAGATTTGAGAGCTGTTGCACAGAAAAGGTTACTCTGCTGTACAGGTATTGTGTCAGCGGTATTGGTACTTTCAATATAATGATATATTGTTTCTGTAGCAGTATATCGCACTGGAAAATGTGTTTTTGTGACTGTCCTGTCCATGGACATGTGTTTATGTGCTTTGCCTAGAATGTTCCACACTGTATACTGTAGAATATTCTGATAGAAATCTAAACACATCCATGCCATCACTGTTTATTCCATCACACATCATCCTCTTCCTCACTGGAAAACTCACTGCACAACGCGGTAATACTCATGGAGAAACTCCGCCCACTGCTGCTCCTCTGTGGACTGGGGCGTGTCTGTGTTCCGGTCAATGTTTCCGTGATCCAGATCAATGAGGAAGTCCTGGCACACACGCAGAGCTGTCTCTATGATGCCAGGCCCAACGATGCATGCTCTCCTGCTCCTGGACTCTGCACACCACACGATAACAGGGACAATATTCACTAATATTCATTAATGTTTAGAGTGAAATCAGAGGTGTAAGATCCAAAACCAGAAAAATTGTTGCTTCCTGTATTCCTGGTTGGTATGGTTCCTGTTTTTGTTTGCTGTTGTCAGTGAGTGACTCTATTTCCAATCAACCTGATCATGATTTAATTTCTATTTACCTGGATAATGGTAAAAGTGACTGAAACATCTTAAAGAACACATACTGTGCTTGTGTCTGCTGTACTGTTATAATCTATGACAGTTGTGGATCATTATGTTATGTTATAAAATGATTATGTGATGCTACTAAGTCCAATCTGTATCAATGATTAAGAAAATAAAACTGGAGAATGAAGTACAGAGCAGTGGGCATATGCCAATGGCAGTGAAAATGGCGTCTCAATTAAAGATTCCTTAAACATGCTCAAATCCCTCCAAAAACAACTCTGAGGGTAAATGAGAAGGAAACAACTATAACATGGTTAAAAGCTCTGAGAAGTGGATTTGGCAGACTAGGTCCTCTTTAAAAGCACTGCTGGAGCAAATCCAGAAATCAAATCTCTCCATTGGCAGAGGCAGTTGTGTCGTCATCATGTTACTCACTGTTGTTGGCCTGCAGAGGCTCTGCTGGAGTATGCATTTGTTCTGTCTGCAGAGCCTCTCTGTTGTTGCTGCTGTGAGTCTCCACCACATGCTGCAGCAGACTGGTGCAGGCCGTCCTCCTGAAGTCCACTGTGTGAACAAACAGCTCTGTAGAATCCTTCAGATCATCGCTATCACTAATTACTCAAATTGACATGATGTTACAATATTTGTCAGTCGTCATGGTAAATAAAAATACAAAAATGAGACCTATAAAGGCGTGCTTCTCGTCCTCTGCTCCCAGGACGTAACATCTGGGGAAGAAGGTGTCTGGGTCGGCCGAGTCAAACCACTGCAGGTTCCTCAGGTTCACACACAGACCTACCTGCACCACACAAACACACAGACACAGACACACACAAAACACACACACCACACCCACACCCACACCGACCCATGCGCACACACACACACACACACACACACACACGTTACACTCTGGTAGTAGTGACACTTTAAGGTTAATTTACAATTTATTGTCCCTGTGAGGACATTTGATCCGTCCTTGACATTGGACTCATCCTTCAGTGCCTGTGGGTTCCAGCTCAGGGCCAGTGGGCACAGTGCAGTGGGTCTGAGTGAGAGACACAGAGAGAATATACAAACTCCTGTGTCTGGACACTGCTGGTTCCAAAGAAGTTTTAAATTCAAATATTATGAGTTTCTTATGAGCACAACTTTTTTATTGATACTTTGCAGTGACATCATGCTGGGGGTGCACTACATGTATGTGTATGGTGGAATGTTCATCAGTTACCATGGTGACACAGTGCTCAGGATAGCAAAACACTGTCAGAAATAGTCTTTAAAAAAGGATTTACACTTTTCAGGAGCCTGTGATCAATACGAGCGTTCATGTTTCTGTTTAAGAGTTTGAGTTGCAACAAAAAGGTGAGAGCGACTAACTGAAAAACTGTTGGCTTTTGCTAGCTAGCTTGTGACTGTAATGTTATTTGAGAGGGACTTAACAGCACAAATCAGATCACCTGCTGTAATTCCAGATAAGTCAGTTATTTCTGATCGGATTGTGCTAGAATAAAGCTCAGATTAAAGGCTAACAAAGCCGCAGACAGAGCATGCCTATAGTTAGCATCACACACTCAGGGAATAACAGCAGCTACAGAGAATCAATGTTTGACCAATAAAACTGGAAAGTACATGGGTAAAGGTTTGGGTTGAGTACAGTCATAATGGCTCAAGTTCATCCATCAGGATCCACCAAACATTTAAACTCCTAATGAGTTTTTTTGTGAAAGTCAGTGCATGAATTTCACTTGCAGACATAGACAATATAATATATCATTTTTCAAGGGGCCACATGAGAAACAGAAAATACTGTAGAGGGCAGGTGTCCTGTCGATTTGAGCTCCCTAGCCCTAATGCAGATGCACCCAACCCCCAAGTGCTGTTACAGTTTAAATGCCGTCAATTTGAGCTCCTGAGGCAGAAGTGGAGTCACAGTTGTAAGTGTATTGGTTTTATTGTTTGTTTGGACCAGTTAAACATGTAAACAACGAAATGTGTGTGTTAGATTTGCAGCAGAATACCTACATTTGGATTTAATATTTTATTTTATCACTATTGTTATCATTACATCGTATTTTATTTTGTTTCCATGAGAAGAAAACATTGTAACTTTGTTTAGAATGGTGCTGCATAAATAAAATCTCACTATACTATAATAGGAAATTCACACTGTAGCCTGTGATATTTAATACAAAGATTTCAGTGTTTTCAGTCATTTCTTTCTCTTCTATAGTGGGAGTCTTATTTGATAGAAGATATCAGACTGTCAAAATGAGCTCTGCCCAAATTCATCTAAATGAGTGAATAATTGTGATTCTACAATGGGAGCATTATTCAAAGGCTAAATTGTCCTGTTGATATGTGCTCCTTTTAGTTGGAGCCTTGTTTGAGCAGAATACTACTGTCAACCTGAACTACCTACAAATATTCATATAAATTAGTTTAGATTTGACAGAACTAAGGCATAAAGTGTGATCACCTTGTGCAAACAGCAACAAACCCGCTTCTCTAATCCAAAGAAATATGTTGTAAAACTGGGGAGGTTTGGCTTTAAGTTTGGCTTTATTGGATCTGTACAACTGTCAACAGAAAAATGTAAAGTAGCTTATTTCGACAGGGAACGTGAATTAATAGATGTCACTGTCGATTTAGGCTGCGAGTAGCTCATTTCAACAGGGCAGCTCATTTCGACAGAACACCGGACCAAAATGCTTAACTCAATTCTGCATAATATGAATTGTATTTCTTCATAAAGCAGTAAAGTAATTATCATTGTTCTGATGAGCTGCTCAGACTGGTGAGAGTTTATGTTCTGACTAAGCAATGAAAAAGTGAGGTTGCCTCACAAAAAATGTCATTTAAAAACATCTCTAAAATCAAAGCAATGCAGCATTAGTCCATGCATGAGGGCAAATGATAAAATATGATTATTTTGTAATTCTAAATGAGCTTAAATGGGCCGATCAGTCAAACAATGATCTGATCTAGATAATGTAATGTAATGTAATATGATATGATATGATACGATATAATATATAAATGGACATAGCTAAACCGCTAGCATTCCAAACAGAAAGTAAGCATGGCCGTGCTTCTGGCTCCATCAACTCTGGCTCCAATTGACTTTATGTTGAAACATTGTGGCCTCTCTGTCTGTAACTGCAGCTGTGAGCCTCATCATTTTGGCCTTAAAATGTTTCTATTAACCCGTTCTACGTGATTTTTGCGATTTTATGTCACAATTTTGTCTCTATTCCTAATGTGGAACCTGACTCAAAATAGTCTCTATTCACGCTTAAGTCACAAACCAGGAAGACATCTGGAAAGATGTGATGAAAACTTCTGATGGAGTTCCAGACACTAGGCTCACCGACCGACTGCGATCAAACCCTGAATTATAATAAAAACATCTTAAAGCGTTCTCCCGTCTTGAGACCGACCGACTAGTGGCCGCTTCAGGTCTTGCAGCCTCTGGGAGCTTGGACCCAGAAACAATTCTCCCATAGAAGCACAATGCATTTTGGTAATTCAAACTGCCCGTGTTCTGACAGGGCATCCAGCTTTCACAAAGGTCAGATTTTGTAGGGATTCTTTCTATTTTCACAACATAAACTCTGAAAATGTTTTAAATCCTCAAAGCGCCTAAAAGTGATCTTTGTACGACTTAGCATAGCCCCGCTCTGAGTCCACGCTCACTCCACTCTAGCAGTTCTCACTCTGATTGGTCCAAACACTACACGCCATGCACGTTACAGAAGTCACACGGCTGGGAGGAGCTCGCCCGGACTGAAGAAGTAAATGCGGAAGAGAAAACTTTTTATGGGCTCATGCGCCATTGACCACAGGCCACTGAAAACAATACGGCACCATCTTGGGTTCAGCTTCCAGATTTGATTATAGTTCTATGGATAAAACCCACTGAAGTAAATGTGATCAGCTGTAAAATGAAGATTGCATACATATGTGCTGTTTGGAATCATCTGGAATTTGGTGCCTCATCTCTTCTAATCACATGTACCCAGTGCACTCAGTGGGGAAATGATGAAAACTGAGATGTGGTTGGAATTGTTGATGAGCCGAACACAACAGAACACTACGATGACATGGAGATGAAGAAAACTGGGACATTTTCTCCTTTTTCCTAGATTTTGTCAGACTTACTACCACGAACAGACCTCACTGGAAACTGTCATCACATGTTTCCAAACGTCTTCATGGTTTGTGACGTAGGCGTGAGCTTCATTTCATCATTCTAGCTATGTGAGCTTCATTTGTCGTCACACTCCCTTAGTCTACTTCTTTATACACTCTATACTTGCAGAACTGGAAATATATAGGAACATTTAAAGGTTGTATGGAGGATTTTTTTTTATTTCAAGTTGTCAATGATAGCATTATAGAGGTGCAGTAGCCTTGTAATTATGATGACCAAAAAAAAGAGAATAAAAATTCATCAACTCAATAAACATTTGCCAATAGATAACGACACTGTCTCGTTATCTGTTAGCTGACAGGCTGTCAATCAATCTCCCTACGTTTCTAGCGTAACTGACTTGCCTGCGCGCCGCCGGTAAGTGGTTTACGTACGCCTGTCACGCAGTCCATAGACGCAAGCCGCACAGACGCTGTTTACTCCACCAACGCAACAGTTCTTAGCGGCTTTTTTTTACCTATATCTTCCTCGCAGTTAGCACAAAGTTTGTTGCAATGGCAAACAAGAATCCAGGAGCAGTTAGCCGCAAAAGAAAGTCCGTTTTTGAGGTCGCTGAAAGAAGAAGACAAGGGGAAAAGCAGCGAAGCCAAACTAAGGTGATTCTTATAGATTAATTCCAGCGATGGCGCGACTGAAACAGACGCAGGGTCTAAAGACTGACGCACTGGTCGCCAAATTACTCCTGGACAGGTCACTTCTGCTTATTATGAAAACGTACTTTATTTCCAAGAGCTAGTCAAACGTTTGTCAGGACACGATAGCGATATCCTATGTCTGAAAACGTAATTTTCAAGGCAAAGAAAGAGTCCGCTTGCTGCTGCGTGTTGTAGCTAGTTCATTCGCACGGAATCTCCGCGCACTCTTCTCTGCTCCCCTTTCCTGCTCCTGTCCCCGCTGCCCGTTCCGCTCTTCCCCCTGCTCCTCACTTCTCCGGGCACGGAATCTCCGCGCACCGCTCCCCTCTCCTCTCTCCCTGCTCCGCTCTTCTCCCTGCTCCTCACTTCTCGTCCGCGAACGAAATGTCCGCACACCCGCTCCCCCCGCTCCTCACTTCTCCGTCTTGCCTAACCAACACTGTAGTTAGTTGTTTACAAGTCATGTGCAGCTCACCGGCTGTAAACAAACCTGTTTCTGGCGTAAAGAGGAGGCGGGAGGAGGCGTTTCTACGTAGGGAGCTGTAGGGGAGGGGGGGTGGTTTCACGCATGCGCAACATTTGAAAAAGGACAAACAGTCGCTGGATTTCTCGTTCCTTGGAAAATCCTCTATACAACCTTTAAATACCGTTCTTATATCTGAACACAACCTTAGTGGTAAAAGTAGCGGCGTTCTCGTAGTGGTTTATCATCTGGTCTTTGCGCAGAGAGTGACAGTCGATGGCGTCTCTGCGTGCCGTCCAGTACAAGTACGTGGTTTCATTTCGCACCATCCGGGACTGACAGAGGAGACAGACAGGGGTTAGCATGAGCATTAGAGGCACACGCCCGTGGTCTGAGAGCGGCTCTGGAGGTGTCAGGTTTGGAGTCTAACCGTGAGGTCGTCCATGTCATCGCGGAGCTCCTCTTTCTCGTCTTCCTCCGCGGCGTCTGAGGGGATAAATCCGACAGGTGTGAGTGATGCGCGCACATACTCACATTTGCACACTCCTAGTCAGAGGACCACACAGTTCTCACGCCGTGTTAAAAGCCAGTGAGTAACCGCTCGTGGTGACACTGAGAAGGCATATCAATGGAGCAACAACATCAAGGAAAATGGGCTCAAAGTGCAGCTTAAATTTCAGGCCTGAATTAGTTTTGGTCAGAGGCTTATTTCTGTCATGAAACGAGTTGAGGCTTAATCTGCAGATGGAGCTGGTTTCAGTTCAGGATTTCAGGATAAGCCTGGACTTGTTAAGCGACTTCGATAGAATACCCCCTCCTGTACAATAACAGAGTACTGTATTTTTTGGACTATAAGTCGCACTTTTTCCATGGTGTGGGCTGTCCTATGACTTATATATCTGGTGCAACTTATATATTAAAATTTTCACACTGACAGCTGTGAGAGGCTCTAGTCTTGTGTGTGAGTATCTTCTGCTTCTGTTACTCCTGTACCACTGTCACTTCACACTACTGCACATGCCTCTTGTAGAAAAAGTCCCTGTCCTGCTGCAAATAGTGAAATATTCAGCTGAAAACGGTAATCGAGCAGTAGAAAGAAAGTCTGGAGTGAGCGAGAAACTTGTGAGGGACTGGAGGAAAGCAGGGATGGGGAACACAGCTTCACGGGAACTGGGAGGGTGCTCCTGTAACTTTCTTGAAAGTCATTGGATGAATCAACAAAGCCTGAGCTTCAATGACACCAAAACCATCCTGTCGGGATTCAGAAAAGCCGGAATAATTCTAAATGGAACTGATGCTGTGTCTGACAACAGCTACACAGAAGCTCTGTTTACCTCATGGATCTATGGTTTATCTCCGGAGGTCACGCAGAAGTGACACTGAGCATGAAGAAGTCAGTGGATTTAGTGATTTGGAGTGAGACTGTGAGTTTGGTAAACTTATGTTCTGTTGTTTATGTAATAATTATCTGAATAATTGTTAATATGTTACGTTAACATATTAACACCTATTCAGCCTGTTGTTCTCTGTTCTGTTGTTATTACTAGAACTTTATTGATGAAATGTCGGTTTCTGGTCTCTGATTTTATAAAATACATTTCTCCCAAAAAGTGTGACTTACATATGTTTTTTTCTTCTTCACTGCAAATTTTTTGGCTGGTGCGACTTATACTCCAGAGTGACTTATAGTCCGGAAAATACAGTAGATATGTTTTTATACGACACTAGGCCCAATTTAATATAAAACACAGTTGTAAGCCATTTATATAGTAGGGGGTCCCTGCTCCAGCTCTCCATCAGTTTAGGGGTCCCTGGCCTGAAAAATGTTGAAGACCCCTGCTCTACGACGTGTGCAGGCTAAAAGATGTGCTGGAGAGTTTTGGACTAACTATATGTGTGACAGGTTCCCTTGGTTGATACCAGTGTACAGCACATTACAGTAGTCAAGATGTGTAGAGATAAAAGCATGGATCATAAGATACATTCACACACTATAACTGGAAGATCTCACATGGAGGACTGGGCAAGTAACTCAACGGGACGATCGCCAAAAACATCAAAACAAAAACTCACAATGAAACTAGACACTCATTTGAGCAAGTATCAGTACAATATAATAGAAATGTGTTGTGTTTTGTTTCATTCACACACGTTTAACACACAAACCCTGCACATTTAGGCTGAGCTCTTCCCTCAAACAGAAAACACTCTGTTCCACCTTGTGATGTCATGTGGTAATACAGGAAGTGCTCCACTGTGTTTTTAAACTCCACACACCTTCACTAGAATCATTTGGACCATTTCAGTCCTGGAATTGCCAATCTCTACTGAACTAAAGGTAAAAGGAACTGTTAACTTACATCATACAGTGGAAAAGAGCATTTTGGGCTTTGGAGATGTAGACAGACTAATAATAAAGAGTAACCCAAACATGTGTGAATGAAACAAAACACAAATCCAGGTCTGTTTTTGAGGAGGGAACAACATTCTAACAAGACCTAAAGCTCAAAAGGCCAAGGACCTTTAACCATAAACAGGTCAAAGCATCTGCACTTTGACAGTTTAAAGGGAAATTCCAGAGGTTCGTGACCTGTCCTCCAGCTCAGCTAAACCATGGGCAGGTTAAAATGCTGTGATGTTGTGTGAACCCAGCCTCTGAGGTAAGATCTGTTTATACAGCTCCTGTTACAGCCGTAAACACAAGACACTAATCCTTCTACATTTTTAACTCATGCTGTGTAATGCTGGAGGGTCATTGAGGCTCCTAATTAAAACTGAGAAATGTGGCATTTAGTAATAAGGTGTATGAAGACTGACCAGACAGACTTTTGAAATAAACCTCAGAAACAATTCCCACTCTTATTCTATTTAATTCTAAAAGGTGAAAGCAGCTCCAAACCAAACACTTTTATTAAAAGATTCACTATACTCTTCAATAAAAAAGACTCAAATGATCATTGACACTGAAACACTTCCGTCAAGATTGGATAAAAAAGGTAAGTGATCGCACAACCCATTTACTTCTAAATCTATGTCATTAAAGGTGCACTATGTAACTTTGTAAGGAATGTTAATCCTCATGTATCCCTTTAAAATAATCACACCTGTGCTTCTTTGTGACAAAAATGTACAATGGAAAAGAATACCACAATATTTTCATGCAGTACGAATTTTTGTCCAACTTTCTTATATCAATGTTTCATTTACTTCTGCCTTAATCATACATACCAAATAATATATAATATTTAGAAATTTTAACCCTTAAATGCCATTTTTGAAAGCAAAAGTATCAAATTATGTGCATGAGAAAAAATTAAAATTTGATTTTTTCCGTGTCTTTCAACTCATTTTAATGTTTGTGTTTGCATTATCAGATGACCCATATCCATTTAACCTCAAATATTTCTATCTCTGACCTTCAGTGTGGACTCACATGTACAAATGTCTTTCTATTGATATAACTTGTAATGGAAGACACAGTAAAAAGAAAAATATCAAAAAAATCAAAATTTCAAAGGGTTTTCAACACCAAAGAATGAAAAATAAATCAAAAAGTAAAACTATACTGGCAAAGTTATGCCAGTAAAAAAAGCCATTCTGAAAGAAAGTCAACGGGGGGAAAAACTGTACATACCTTGATTATCGACCGTTCATTAATGTGATCTTTAAAAAAAAAAAAAAAAAACCCCACCGAAAATAAAAATACATCACGAAATACACAAATTGGCAAATTTTGGTGCTGTTTGGTGCAATACAGCCAAATTTATGCAAAAAAGAAAAGCTGACCTGTACAAAAATGTACCTCGGGTGCAGGAGGTTTAAGTAACTGTCACCTGCTTGTCTCCATGAAAATGTTATTGATTTGCGTGAAATATTCCACAGTATGATGACACAACCAAACCAAGTTACAGGCCTGATCTATGGAGAAAAGAGTCTGCTCACAGTAAGAATGCATGTTTTAATGTATTTTTTTAACTAAAAGAAACACCTGCAATTGAATTTAGACAAGAGAACCAAGTTCAACGACACACTGTGTCAAATTTTAACAAAACCCGCCCCCAGAATAGTTACATAGTGCACCTTTAAAGGGCTCATGTTACACTATTTTCTGATCTATGTTATCATGTTGTTTCCTCATCAACCCCTTGTGATGTCATGAACATGAACTGCTCCACTGTGTTTTTAAACTCCACATACATTCAATAGAATCATTTGGATGATTTCAGACTTGGTATTGCCCATTTCTCTTGAACTGAAAGCAACAAAGGCTTTTGCTTAAACAGGTGTGAATGAAACCAAACACAATTCCAGGTTCCCAGGATGTTTCTGATGAGGTAACAATGTTCTAACATGAAACTCACAGGAAACCATTTTGTGGACTTCTAAATCAGTACTATATGTGTGTAAAAAGGACCCCTCACCAGCTCCATCAGGCCCGTGCTCTCCCTCTCCACCGTCTTCTGTCTCGGTGCCCTGGCTCTGGGAGGGTTTGTGGAGGGGGCGGGGCAGGCGCTTCTCCACCCACCCCCTGGACCTCAAGACTTCCCTGATCACTGGGTATGGGCCCTGCACCGAGAAGATCTTATGCAGCTAAAACAGAAGCGAGAAACAGAGGTTAGGGGGAAAACAAATAACATTAGTTCAAAATAATTTATCTTCCTCTTGTTTTAAAGGTGCACTGTGTAACCTTTCAGGTGTAGAGTATGCTACCTGCTTGTCTCCATGGAGATGATACTGCTTTACCTGGTTCCACAGTACAAAATTACAGGTTACTTATCTATCTCCATGAAGACAAGCGCTTGTTCAGATCTGCGGAGAGGTGAGAATGTCTTTTTTAGCAAAACACTAGAACAGAATAATGCAAGCTAGATAGAAGTTTAATGCCATACTGTTGAACATTCAAAGCTGAGTCATATCATCTCCATAGAGACAAGCAGGTGGCAGACGCCCAACCAGAAATGTTACCTTTAATTGCACAGTTACAACAATACAATCACAACAGAATCTTAGATGCCTTTAGCGTTTATATACACACAGAGAGAGACAGAGAGAGAGGACTTTTGGGGTTTCATTCACAGGATCTGGCAATGCCAAATGTGAACCTCTTTCTCTTATCTTTAACTCACTAAAATGTATTCCCTGATAGATCCTGTTAAGATTTTAAACAAGTAAGTAAGTACAGTAGGCCTGATAAATATTCCATATAGAACTTACAAAAATGGGAAGATCTTTTTGATCAATCCATCCCATAGAAAAATGTGTTCCAACTGAGTTATCAAAGTTTGGGGTCTTGAGGAATCTGAACTGTGTCATTTTTGTTCTATTGAAGTTAAGTCTGTTGAGCAGTTATTTTGGTATTGTCATTTTGTCATGTTGCTGGTGCCTTTTGGGGTAAAATACAAAAAATATTTTTTAATACTATTGATGGTTTTGAGCTATGCCCCCTGTCAGTATTATTGGGTTTTGTGGGAGAAACAAAGTACAGGGAAATGATAAACTTGATTATTCTTTCGGGAAGAAATATATTTTTAGTACAAAAAATGCTGAATCTATAAATATTTTTGTCAGTTTGTAGAGCACTGTTATATTTTGGAGGAGGAATGTGTTCACTCAGAAAAGGAAAAAAATCTCATCAAATGTTGAGATGTTTATGAGTATGTATGTGTATTAGTGTATATGTAACATGTACGTGTGTAGGTTTATGTGTGTGTGTGTGTGTGTGTATGTATGTGTGTGTATGTATATTTGCACACACATGTATACATCTAATGTGTATCCGCATGTGTGAATGTATGTGTATAAATGTATATGTATGTGTAATGGAATTGTCATGTATTGTTATTGTCTTGGTCATGATTGTTTTGTTCCTTTTCTATTGTCTTTGCATGTTGGTAAAAAAAAATAAAATAAATGTTAAAAAATCAACATTTAAAAAAAGTTTCAGTAGGGCTATAGGCTCCCCACACTTGACTTTTTTTAAAATAGACGAATCTGCTTCTCTATTCCAAAACAATTAGCTAATGTTAGCATGATCAAACGCAAACAGTCTACACATCTATGAATATTTTCAACTGTCATGTTCATTTCATATTTAGTTTTAATGAAGTGCTGCTTATTATAAATTACTCAGGAATAGTTCCAGTTGAAAACCATGTGCACAAAAGTAAAGTTTGTCCCACCTTGACCGCCTTCTCCACCAGAGCTTTGGCGGTGCGGAGCCGGTCGGGTCTGAGGGCGGGGAGGACCGGGCCGAAGCGGGGCGCGGCGGGCTGCAACACTACACAAGTTTGATCAGAAACAGAACAATATCACACAGAAATAGAACAATATCACATAGAAGTGTTTGTAGATGTTCTTGTTTAGGCCCAAAATCAAACCTGGCATTTGCTGCATCTCGACCACTTGATCACGTGAGTCTGTGAACAGATCGTGCAGTGAGTCTGTTGTATTTTCATGCTCATGTTGTTTGTGTCAGTGGTTCAAATAAAACTGTAATAAAGTTGTTTTCGTACACAGTGACCTCATCAGGTGCGTGTGTCTTACCTACAGCCGAGTGCTCACGCTGTCACCTCTTTACATGACCCGGGGATAAATCCAGAGACATCTCAATCTGGACTCAGCTCAGAGACGCGGCTCTTCAGAACAAACACCAGCCCGGAGTCCGTGTACATTCCCGGGCCTCTGGGACGCTGTGCTCCTGCTACACGTTGGAGCGTTTCATGATTCTCTCGTGGTAAACGTGTTCAATAAAAATAGAACGTTAATATAGCGGAAGTGTCTGCCCGCTCTGCTACGGCCGCCGCACGACACTCACACAGTTCCCATGACTACCCGAACTGTTTACGGTCGCCATGGAGACGGTCCCTGGAGAAACTGGACGCGCGCGCGCAGATGGACGGTCAAGCTTTACCTGTGCGAATTGCGCATGTGCCAAAGAAAGTAGCGCTTATCCCCCGGGAAGAGATGAGCACGAGGGCACGCACACTTACGCACACTCACGCACAGGCTGAAGACATGAACCTGGACCAGAGCGAGGCAGTGGACACTGGGCAGGTCACGTGATCTGAACAGGTTAAGTTTTATGGAGGGTGCAGTGCTTCTGTCTTCCGCCAGATGTCGTCCAACGCTCACACTCACTCAGTGAGCCGAGTGAACCTGAGAGCTCCAAACAAGATTTAGCAGCCCCCGGACTGTGCTCACACTCTGATACTGGCCTAATACACCGGTGTGTGACGAGTCAATGTCCGTCAATATTCAAGTGTCACAATGAGTGAACCGTTTGGCCTAAATGAAATTCATTAGCCCAGAACTCCTCACATGCCTATAGCCCACTTCCACGCACTGCGCACACGCTCTGTATGGATCTATAGCTGTGGCAGCGCTGGAGCGGGGAGCAGCATTGCGTCGAGGGGCGCTCGCGCCTGATTGGCTGACGCTGCAGCGATGCTCCGCATCCTGCTCCACAGCAGGACACGAGGAGGAGGAGGAGAGAGGGAACAGGAGAGAGGAGCCCGAGCCTGTTCACTCAGACCTCATGCCCGTTACCTCTCCATCCACAGTGATGTATCTCATCATGTCTAACGTCACAGCCGCCGCAGGTAGACGCTAGAGCCGGGCCAGAGCGGGCCAGAGCCGGGCCAGAGGCGCTTCAGTCACCGCCGTCAGAAAATCACCTTGAGCGCGTGGAGCGGCGCTCAGCCACAATAACAACATGTCCAAAGAGCCGGACAGCCTCCTGAGCTACCAGGTACAGCCCGGGTAGGGGGGTCCGCGGGGCGGCTGCGGTCTTACGCGCGCGCTGTTCTGCACAGTTTGACCCGCGCTCCGCACTCTGAGCAGGTGTGTGCTCGCGCGCGTGTGTGTGCACGCGGGGGCAGAGGTTATTCCCGAGCCTCGGAGTGTTTCTTGTGTTTGTGTCGGTGTGGATGTTCACAGCTTCATGTTTATATCGACGACTTCATGTTCCGGGTGCGCACTGTTGTTATTATTGTGCACGTCGCTCGCACGTGCAGCAGGAAATGAGTCAGAGTTGGCACCAGCGCACCTGGCACGCGCACATGAGACCTTACTATGAGGGATCATTAGGGTGACCCCCGGTGGCGCAGGGTTCGGCCCGCACGAGCGCGCAGGAGAGTCTGTCCAAACGCCAGGTCCACGTGCTCCCTCCTCAGCGCGGATAGGTGCGCGCGGGGCTGGGGGCGTGCTACTTTCTCTTTTACCCTTATATGACCTTGACGCCATCCTTACGCCGCCCTGCCCCGTGAGGTTCAGGAGTTTAACAGAGTGTGTGTGTGTGTGTGTGTGTGTGTGTAAGAGCCCGCTCCTGTGCTTCTTGTTGATGCACCTGCTGTTGTTACGTGGGAGAAAGGACGAAATGAGCGTGTGAAGAGTTGGACAGGTGAATGTGAGGGTCAGTCACCTGTTTGTCTCTGTGGAAGTGTCATTGCTTTGTTTGGAGTATTCCACAGTGTCATTAAACTTGTGTCGCTTATGTTTATTCAATCACATTTCATTGCTCAAAAATACCTTAAAACATGAATTCTAACTGTGAGCGGGTCTCCTCTCCACAGATCTGACCTGTAACTTGGCTTCAGACTTCACAATCAGGTTTCATTAAGACTTCTTCAGTTTACACTTGATGGAAGTTTCCTGTCACATTGAAAAGGCTTGGCATTATTGTTGTTTAGTTTATATTGATACTTTGCAGCGGATGATTTCAACCTTCCCTGGCTGAGTGATGTTAACTAGAGGCACTGCTCTGTCTGAGGCTTGGTTAGACTTTAATCCCAGCTTCATTTTAACACAATCTGACCAGAACTGAAACTTTAAACAGGACCATGAACTGAAAATGTGTTGTTTAAATTAATTTTGTTTTGAGTTTTCATCTTAAACCCTTTTGGCTGTGTGTGTCACCATGGTAACTGATGAGCATTTCGTCATACACATACATGCAGAACACTCCCAACATGATGTCACTGATCCACAGTTCGTCACCTTGTACTTATAGGCGAGTTTCAGCTGACGTTATTGTTATTAAAAGCCCGCGTTGCATGCTGGGAAATATTTTGGTCGGAGGCAAGAAACACGGCAGCGGTCAAACACAGTGCGTAACCTCGCGTATTTATCCCCGATAATGGTAAATTCCTGCTGCATTATCGGATGTACAAATAGAAGCACGGAAGAAGGAAAATGTCTTTTTCGTATTCTGAGTGAAAATAACCTCTAACGGTGAATTAAATGGCTTTCAAACATCCGCAGAGCAAACATAGAAGATCTGAGCAAACCGTGGACTCCAACAAGTTCAACAACACATTGAGACTCTTGAAGGCTTTCGTCTTTTCTGCTGTGAATGGCCCAGGAGTTTCCACCAAGTCAATGTGGATATCGCCGAAGTGAATATTTAGGCAGGTAGTTGGCGATTCCCACCAGAAATTTGGTTTGGTCCACCTTTTGTAGGGGTTGAAAAGGGTGATTTGGCATCCATCGATGCTTATGACCAATTTCTGGTCAAATCGTCTTGGGTCCTCTGCCATTAGAGTGGATAAATAACTGGGATCAATACCCTTTACGTGCTTTCTCGCTCCATCCGTCATGTTGAATTAGTGTTTCTTGCCGCCGACCAAAATAATTCCCAGCATGCAATGCGCGCTCTTGTCAACAATGAAACTCGCCTATACATGTGTAATGACAATAAAGTTGAGTCTAATCTAATCTTTGTGAGGAAGTGTTTGCAAGATGAGGTAGTGTTTTACAAATAGGATCAAGTGTGTATTTTTACACATGTCAGTCTGGTCTCTTCACCTTCTGCCCTGCCTCGAGCCACAACATGATCGTCCAATCACATTTGTGTACTTTAGTGATGCATGTGAAAAACAAAGCAGCTCATTGGTCATCGATCATTTTGAACAAAACTGAATCTCCCCTCAGATCACTTCAGTGCTTTTTCAGTAGTGCTGTTTTTCACTTCCCTGTGATCTTTTTTTAAATTTGTTTTGATACGGACAGACCATGCCTGTTGCTAACTGGCTAATCCACCTGTCAATCACACCCATCTGAACTTGGCAAGATTCACCAGTGCCCAGACTCACATCTTCACATGGTGCTAGGGCTGTTCGGCTATGGAAAAAATCATTATCACGATTATTTTTGATCAATATTGAAATCGCAAATATTCATATGATAACTTTTTAGTTACATGATGCATTTATTCAGCATTTCTCTCTCTCAATAAAAACCCCAAAACACTTTGTTATTGATAATTTATGCAAAACTTTCAAATTGAAAATAAATATAGGCTACAAATATGAAATAAAACATTTAAAACTAATAAAATATACTCTAAATATGAAATAAGGCAGAAAAACATAAATAAACTATATATCCAGCTGTTCTACAATCTCTATTTTTATAAATAATAAAATAAATATACTTGTTTATATATATATATTTTAAAAAAAATCTAACCTAAATAAACTTTTAAAAAATCATTTCAGTTTGATTATATGAGTTTGGAGATGACTTGACACACAAATCGACATTGCGATCAAAATTCAAATAATTGCAGTTTTACATTGAAGAAGTGTGTATTCTGGATTCAACGGAACAAGCAATACTTTTCTTGTGAAGGGTTTGACACCTGCTCGTTTCCGTGGAGATGTTCGTGCTTGGCCTGGAATGTTCCACAATACAGCATTCAAAGTGTCAATGCATTTCATTAATAAAGGTACTCAATGAAAACCAGGCATTCTTACTGTGTGTGTGTGTTGGCCTCTCCACAGATCTGACTTGAGCTGGTGTCTCTGTGGAGAGTTTACTGCCACACTGAACATTCCAGGCAAAGCGATAACCCTCAGAAAAGTGACAGAGTGTTTCTTTAAAGACAACTTGACACAGTGTTTCTTCCCTTAAACCCCGCTGTTTCCATGGGGACGATCGGAGCTTGTTCCAAATGTCAGGAGCAAAAAACAGAAGGCAGAGTTTAAATGAGGCACAGACAATGGACCTGTGTGTTTGCCACATCAGGTTTATTTTTAAAGTCCCATATTATACAAGATTTTCTGATCTACATGATGTTCTAATGTTGTTTCCTCATCACAAACAGACCTGGAGTTGTGTTTTGTTTCACTCACACATGTTTAACACACAAACCTGCACATTTACACCATTTCATTTCATTTTCATTCATTCACTATTTCATTCACAAAAGATGAATACAAAATAATTATGTTTCATACAATAATGTGAATGAAAAGGAGCAGAAAGAAGAAGACTTGTAATATCTGCCACTTTTCAAACAAAGTCAAACATTTCTAACACTTCAACAGGTCATACTACATTTATAAGCAACTTATTTACATGACAGACACAATAAACACTTGTAATGAACACAAAAA